ATAGTGCTTTCTTTGTCAAGCATCTAAGATCTCTGTCTAGACTTAGATTCTGGATATTTTCTTCTTTTTCCCCCCAGAAGTTTTATAGTTGTACATTTTACATTCAAGTCCATGATCCATTTTGAGTTAAATTTGTATAATATGTGAGATTTAAATTGAGTTCTTTTTTTGTGTGTGTCTTGTGGAGGTTCTTCTTCTTCTTTTTTTTTTTTTTTTTTTTTTGTCTATGGGTGTTCAACTGATCCAACATCATTTGTTGAAGGCTATATCTCTTTGACTGAATTCCCACCCCCACCTTTTTCCATTTTTAAGATCACCATAGGTGAAAAGAAAGTGTAAATATTTGTGATACATTTTTTGATTCAAGAAAAGGAATGAGTGAATTAATATCAAATAGATTTGGAATTTCAGTGAATTTATACAAAAAAAGCTATCAGGGAAAGCAGGTAGCAGCAGAATCCCGGAGAAGAACAGTGGGTGATTTAACAGAGTTATGAGAAATTGCAGAAAACAGCAGCTGACCAGATTGGCGTATAAAATAATGCTGAGCAGTGCTGAGGGCCTAGCAAGAGCTGGAGACTGACAGTTTATCCTGGGATGAAACTGAATAGCTGGGGGATTTTGCATAGCAGGGGAATGATGAAACTTATTTAATGTTGTGTGTATTGAGGTGGGTATATGGAGTCCAGTACTTTCTCTCAAGAGTGAAAGAGATTATTTGGGGCAGGAATGCATGAAGGAGGTATGGGATTTTTTTATTCGTACCTTGAAATGTAGGCTGAAATCTGCTGGGAGGRGAAGGAATATGAAGAAAAAGAATGCCAAAGGAGGCAGAATTAGATATGGGAACAGATAAGTCTTATTGGGAGACCTAGTAAACCAATTTGGCTGAGCCAAGGGTTACTGTGAGCCCCTAATGGAGGGGGATGTTGAAAGGGTGCATCTGATAAAGACCGAGTGAAGCACAAATTCTTTAGCTTTGAATTTCTTCTAGGCAATGAGCATGTGTTGAAGGTTATTGTGCAGGAGAGTGACTGAAGAAGATTAATCTGGTGGCAATTTGCTATAAGAATGGGGCTCAGAGGGAGGGATGGAGAGGGAGAGATTTAGGAGACTGGCAAAGGAACCCAAAGGTCAGTGAATCAAAAAAAGGAAAGGAAGGGGCTAAGACAAAGGACAGAAAGTCACTCCTCTGCGCCAAGGCACTTGTCACACTATAGACCTTTCACTCCTGTTGGTGAATATTGACTTAATATTATGTCATATATAATATATTATGACTTAATATTGATGTTTTCTTCCTTCTTTCTTTCCTTTTTTCCCCTTCCTTTTTCCTATTTTTCTCCTCTTTCCTTCCCCTCCTCATCTTTTTTCTTTCCTTCCTTCTCTCTCCTCTTTCTTCCTCCTTTCTTCCTCTCTCCCTCTGTTCTTTCTTTCATTTCTTCCCTCTCATCCTTCTCACCCTCCCTCCCTCTGTCCTTCTTTTYTTTCCTTCCTTCCTCTTTCTGTCTTTAGTAATTTATTCAGCTCATACTTATGAGTATCTGCTMCTTACACACTGGACATTGAACAAGGCTTTGAGAATTCAGAGAAGGGAATCCTATTCTCCAAGGAAAAGCAGACAACTATGGGAACCCAAGAAGGACTCAGCAAGCAACTGAGTATAAGTGTATGACAGATTTCAGGGGTGCAGAGTCCTACTAATCTATTACAGCAGAGAAGGTGATGCTTTAATTCATCCTGAAAAAAATCACAAGGAAGTCATCAGCAGAGCAAGTAGAAGAGGAGGCAGGGGTGCTGTGGGAAGAGGGCCTGGAATCTCAGGAGCTGTTTATTTATTTATTTTCTTTTTGTTTGGGGAACTGTCAGAGCATGTGCTTGTGAAGGAGGGTCTGTGAGGTTGGAGGAATTTGCAGGGCTGTGTGTGAAATACTTAAAAGTTTAGGTTTTATTCCAAACATCTTAAAGGTCACTGAAGGATTTTACATAGAAGAATGATATTAGATTCTTACTGATCTACAAAACTGAGRATTTACAGTCTTAGGCTCTGGAGTCAGACTGAGTACAGGGCATGACTCATCATTCAACTATTTGATGGCTGTGTGACTTTAAGCAAGCCACCTGACCTCTTCAAGCCTTTCTTTTCTAAAATAAAATGAAAACTACTACCTTCCTCATAGTTTTCTTTTTTATTTAAAGTTTCGTGAGAATTAAATGATGTGTCAATTGTCACATTCTTAGCAGAGTGCCTGGTACATAGAAAGTCCTCTGAAACTGACAGCTTCTCTTAATTAGTGCTTGCGTCACCTTGGTCACTGCTACTATCATAACCATCTCTCCATAAGCTGTTACAAACACCACTTATCTTGGTATGCAAGATGAGCCAGAGATAGGAATGAGCCGAAGGAAGGGAGACCAATTAGGAGGCCTCTGAAATAGTCTAGGGGTAAATACTCTTTTTTCTGTTTAGTGGCCAACTGTCATTCAGATGGAGTTAAAAAAAAAAATCCAAAAAGTTTGTGGAGTCAATGTAAAGGAAGACTGAGCAAAATTTAGTGATTGATTAGCTGGAAGAAACCAGGGAGCCAGTAAAAGATGATGGCAAGCCTTCAAACTTGAGTGACTGGAGGATTCTGGTATTTTCCGCAAGAGGAAGTCCCTTCCCACCCTGTACTCTGCTTCTCAGGCCATCGATTGCCAGAAGCCCATCATTGGATGGTTGACTGCTTCTTCACTTTCATTCACTTGCTCTGTGACTCTGCCGTGCCAGCTGCTGCTTTGTCTTTTTACAGAATGCCTTGTCATAACTATAGTGAAGTCATATTTGAATTTGGAATCTTCAAATTTTTGAAGTCTCAAGCCCCAYTTACAATTTGGGTTTGACACATCTCTCTGGATGTTTCCAAATCTGCTTTCATTTCTAGATCATGTAGACTTCAGCATCTGCAACTTTGTTTAGGGGCATTAACAGGATCTTATACTTGCAGGGTACCTATTGCTTTTGGAACAAAATAATTTTATGGTTTGTCAGTATTACATAATTTTTATTTTTCTCTTCTGTCTAAAATATGGAATTATAAATGCCTTCTATTTTAAGTCCCATGTCATAAAAAAATCAAATCCAAACAAAGCAATACAATGAAAAACCTAGCTCAGCTTTTAGCTTTTCTATTCCTGAAAATTTTTACTTCTACTCTGACAAGGGGGACAAGTGGAGAAACCTGGGAGCATGACAAGATTTTGTTCTAACCAAATGATCTGTCCCTTGTACCTAGTTTTAGAGCAACATAGCTGTGGCCATGATTCTTTGGTTTTCTTTTTTCCTTCTTTCTTTTTTAACTTTCATTATTCTAATTGCTGAAACTGCCTTGCAATTCGAGAAAGARCAGTAGTGTTGAGATTGTGTTAGGGCTAGGTTAGCCAGGTTCCAGACTCTGACAGCTCTTATCTTGTTTTTAAGAGAGAAACTTTGTTTTGCTGCTGGGATTTGAATCCAGGGCCTTGTGATTGTTAAGCACGTGCTCTACCATTGAGCAATACCTCCAGCTCCTAAGAGAGAAAATTTTAAATAAATATCTTATACAGGAACAAGTGGCATATCACGAACAATTTGTAATGCTCTCTGCTGGTTGATCTACCCAAAGTCCTTGTCCAGTTGTTCTTGAGATTCAGGAAATACATTTGTGAGAAAGCTGCCCTAAATTAGGGGAAATAGATCAATGCTCTCAGCCTCATCAGTCCCTGAACTCTGCCACCACCCCTGCCAAGTTAGAAAGAACCAGTATAGAGCTGGGGGTCAAAGTTTAACAGAAAGATTCTTCATGGTGGTTCACAAAGAGCCCTTCCACTTGTTTTTCTGTACTGGTCACCTAATGTGTGTGTGTGTGTGTGTGTGTGTGTGTGTGTGTGTGTGTGTGTTTCAGAAATAGTATGTGAAGGATGGGAAATCAAATGTCTCTGTGGGAAAAAAACAGTGTTTCAGGTTCTCAGAGTTTTAGTCATCTGCTCTCTTACTTTTCCAGACTGTGAATATACTTTAAGGCCATTAAAATCTATTCCTGGTGGTTTAAAAAAAAAAAAAAAAGGGTAGGGACTCAGTGGTTCCTTCTCAATTGCCCTGTGTCTGGCAACAAATATCTGAACACTCTGATTTGCCTTTTTTATTTCCCCTAGTGGTTGCAAAACAATTCTACTCATATTTGTGGTGGAAAAAAAAAAATCCTCTGCCCTGATTTCTGTGCTGGGAATATAGCAAAACACAGGCTACCTGTGCTAGCCTGTTTCTCTGGGATAAAATGAAAGGAATTTGGCTCCCTGGTAAGGGGGCTGGCCTATCCTGGGTGTGTGAGAAGGGAGGGGTAACTGGGACGGGAATCCCATTTAAATCACAGAAGAAACCAGGAAGTAAGGAGAAATTATTACAGTCTGTACATAGCTCAGGATGTTAAAGGCAATAGTTTCTGTCTGTTGGTTATTCATTAGCAAAACAGAAAAGAAAAGTCAGGATCAGGACGGGTGGAACCACAGGAGCACACTTGAAGCCTGGAAAGGGCTGTGGCACAGGTGAGACATGGAGATTTTACCTGGAAATAGTATCTTTCTCTTGCTAACTTTTTTCTTTAGACAAAGGGCAAGGTGGCTCTTTCTGCTCTCAGATATTTATTCAAAGTCCTTTTAATTTACTTTTATTTTGTTGTGGGATTCCTGAGCAGACAGGAAGAAGAGGCATTTTCCCCCTGAACAACTGCCCAATTCCCACTTGATTTTGCTCTGGGGCAGCAGCTACAGCTGAAGAAAACCAGGAGGTGAATCTCCCCAGGCAGGGCTGGCTGCAACCAGATCTGTGGGGATTGCTCTGAAACAGGACTTAGCACACTCTCCAAAGTATGGTGAGTTGGAGCTGATTTCAAAGTTACCTGGAGAAGAAGAGAAGAGAAAGTGGATCTGTGGAGACGACGGGGAGAGGGAAGGCCCTCTCCCCCTCTCCTAACCAGGACACCATGGGCAATATCTGTTTGAGGCTCCGGGCACACTTGGAACCCTGTCTCCCCTGYGTGTCCCAGGAGGCAGACAAGTCGGTGGTAATTGAGAATCCAGGGGCCCACTGTCCCCCTGAAGCTCCTCAGACTGTGAAACATGAACCCAAGAGAAGCCAGAGGCACTACTTTGTGGCTCTGTTTGATTATCAAGCTCGGACAGCAGAGGACCTCAGTTTCCGTGCAGGTGACAAACTCCAAGTCCTGGACAATTCCCATGAAGGCTGGTGGCTGGCCAGACACTTGGAGAAAAGGGCAGATGGCTCCGGCCAGCAACTGCAGGGCTATATTCCTTCTAACTACGTGGCCGAAGACAGGAGCCTACAAGCAGAGCCGTGAGTAGTACAGACCTACACTTTATATGTTAACTCTCTGAGGGCTGGGTACTGAGTTTTCCTTCCTACCTATCTTCAACCTCCTATTCTCCAGAGTTGCATAGAGAGGGCATGGAAGTGCTGGTAAAAACCATTAGTTGAAACATACCTTTCTTTTTGCAAAGTCAGTGTGAAACTTGCAGGTAATTGTTGCTGAAATGACTTTGATTACAGTATGCATACCCATGGGCCAGGTGCACTTCCATCAACAGAAACAGGAAATAAGCCAGCGGTCACTTTAAAAACAGAAATATATTTCATTTGCAGGTAAACCATAAGACTCTCTTAAACCATCCTTTAAAATCTAAAGTTCAGCTCTCTTTTGTTTTTGTTTTGACTTTTGAAGCATATATCAAGTCCTAACATGATTCTTTTTTTTTTAAAAAAAATTATTTGTTCTTTTAAGTCATACATGACATCCTAACATGAATTCTAATCTTTTTCATTCTTAGTAGTCACACACATAGGCTAATCAACATAGAAGGTGACTTTTATATAATTCTATTTTTTTYCCACTAAAATCATGACAGAGACATTTTTTCTTTGAATTCCCAGATTCTGAAGTATGTGACTCAAATTATGATATCTTTTGGATATGATGATTAAACATTGGCSAGGTACAGAGAGTTACTAAAGTTTAACAAGAAAAATAAAGAGAACATTTCTCTGAAAGAGTAGATAAAGATTTKATCCTGGAAAAAAAAATAAAAAGACTTTATCTGGGTATTTGAATAAGTCCTATGAATTATAGTGCAACAAAGCAGCAAAATTTTATGTACTTGTTCGTTCCACGCAWCCATCCATACATCCATCTATCCAACCACCAGGAGGAACGGTAGTGGATATGATGAGTGGGGAAGAGTCAGCTACTGCTGATAGTTGAATACACAACTATCAGCTGATAGTTGGATAAACTGCAGTCTTGATGATGGATATATGGGGTCTGGTGAATTGAGAGCAAGTGGAGACTGTTGTGGGCCCCAGTCTTATTGCTACCTGGTTTCAATGAAATTCAAGACTGAGAATGTCTTTCATGAAATGTACTCATTTTATAGAATGATTCTTTAATGGAAGAATCCTGGGGATTCACTCATGATCTCATATAAATATTTTTTTTATTTTTATGTGGTTTGCAACGTCTCTTACTGTCCCAGGGAATAAGATGATAGGCCAGGGAACATTATTGTTAGTTTCCAAATTCATATATCCTAATATGAAAGGTGGTTTGATGATTTTTGAGAGTCTTTTCAACATCAAGAGCTTATAAAAGGTTTTAATTTATACCTAAATAGAAATGAATTGAATTTGTACTTTTGATGAATGGAATTGATTAGTTCTTAAATGAGAAAAATCACCTGTGTGAACATTTATTTTCTATAATGATCTACAAGAAATATATTTTCTTATCCGTGAAATGTTTACTTATATGTTTTTATTGTCACATGATTTCTATGTAATAAATGGCTCTATGCATATTTTATATTCGGTGTAACATATTAGAAAAATACCATAATGTTAATATTTAGTGCCTTGAATTTATAATCTGCTAGGTTTAAATAAATTGAATATTCAGTTCATTTAACTGTGTAATGCCTCCATCTCCTCATCTGTAAAGTCTCTAGAGTTGCCTAGATTTCTGAATTTTCTGATTATTTGGGAACACAAACTCTTTTATTTTATTTTATATATATATTTTGGTACTGGGGATTGAACCCATGGGTGCTCTACCACTGTGCTACATCCCAGCCCTTTTTATTTTATCTTGAGACAAAGTCTTGCTAAATTGCTCAGGTTGGCCTTGAACTTGTGATCCTTCTACCTCACAAGTTGAAATTACAGGTGTGGGCCACCACATCTGTCTTGGAAACACAACTCTTATTCTATCAAACATTCATTCTTAATACTGAAGAAAGCAGGCTGACAGACTCAAGATAAGCAATCCAAAGGTGATCATGCACTGGGTAAAAGGCATGAGTAGTGTCCTTATTAATTTAGATGGTCTTTGCCTACAAGCACAAAATAAAGCAGCTAAAGTATTGTGGCTATTTTTTGATTCTCATGGGCCATCTGTAGCCAAGAATACTCTTTTTCCCTCTGTACATAACTCCTGACCTTTCGACTTGAAATCGGTTCTCAGCAGTGTTTCCATCTGTCATTGCCAGCTCAGATCTCTGCAGTGAGCCTCCTTGGAATCACTATACCTACTGGAATAAGATCCAGAAAATGCTACCATTCTGCTTTCAGCCCAGGACAGCCCACTTGWTTCCTTCTAAGTGCACATAGAGGCCTCACCTTTGAACCCAGATTACTTCTGGAGGTCTTTGCCACCATTTGGCTAAATTTCTTTAATACTTTTAGGGCAAGTAGCTGCAGCCTCTTGAATTCTACTCCATTTCAAATGAAATGATGTGGGATGTGTGTGTGTGTGTGTGTGTGTGTGTGTGTGTATGTGTGTGTGTGTGTGTGTTGGGGGAATTCTTGGGATTGAACCCAAGGCCTACGCATGCTCTCTACCACAGAGCCACAAAGAGAAGTGATTTTAACTTAGCAGTCATCAGAAGGAGTGTCTCAAGAGGCCTGCCCAGTGCTGTATTATGGAAGGAATCATACAAAAATAACTTACTTTAATATCTTTAGTGTGTTTTTTTCAAACTATAATTCATTTTTACTTATGAACACTGTGAAAGTTCATGTGGTTTACTGAGCTCAGTAAATATTACTAAGGGAAGATTATTGTTTATATTCATACATGTGAGATGGGTAGGTAATGGGAAGCCAATGAAAGTTGGATCATCTAATTTCTAATTAGAACAGTGTAATGCAGTGTATATTAGTGTTCATGTTTATGTCTTTTTGTTCTGGTACTGGCTACTGAACCCAGGGATGCTACATTCCCAGCCTTTTTTATTTTTTATTTTGAGACAGGGTCTTGATAAGTTGCTGAGCCTGGCCTCAAACTTGTGATCTCCTGCCTGTGTTTGCCACCCTGCCCAACTGTTTATATCTTTATTCTTGACTTGCATAAGTAAGAAATTTAGTGCAAGTACTTCAGGAGTTATTAGTGCCAGGGTAAATCAGCTTGGTTTGTCAAATTCTTTTCTTTTTTAGTACTTGAAAGTAGAGATGTTGACAAAAGAGCTAGTCTATTGATAAAAGAAACCAATTTACTAATTGATGACTATTCCTCTTAGAAAGGCTGTAACTTTTCTGAGTATCTTACATTAAGTGATATAAAAGCTCAATTCTTAAATAATTTTGTCTCTGTAAAGAACCATTACTGCATTTATCTTATCTTCAATTTGAACTTATTCATACAACCTTTTATAGATTTTTTCCCCTACATCTTCAAAATGAAATCCCTCATGAACATTACTCTCGGGGCCTTTTTACTCAGAGCTTTCTCTCTTTTTAAAAATATTTATCTTTTTAGTTGTAGTTGGATACAATAACTTTATTTTATTTATTTATTTTTATGTGGTGCTGAGGCTTGAACCCAGGGCCTTGCATGTGCTAGGTGAACATTCTACCACTGAGCCACAACCCCAGCCCCACAGAGCTCTCTTTAAATATAATATTTAGTGTTTTTCAAGATATAAAGTTAACCCAGAAAATAATGAAATGGAAATTACATATGAATCTTGAAGTCAAGAAAAATGGCTTCACGTTTTTCTAGTTTTAATGTAAGAAATTCAAGCATTGCAATATATTGATGAAAAACAAAATGATCAGCAATAATGTAGCATCATTTATCCATAACTAGTTTAAAAAGTTGTTTGCCCACTTGCTTAGTGTCATGATGGGCAAAAGGTGTGACTTATGCAGTCGAGGGGGAGGAATAAAGAATGTCCACATGTTTCTGCCCTTTTCAATACTTTATTCACTCAAATCACTCAATATAATTTCACTCTATAGGTTATTAAGGTTCTTAATCAAGAAAATGACAAGCCTTAATGCTAGACACTACAATAGACACAATCAATTCACAGCAAACAATTCTAGATTAATTCTAAGCACTGTAGACACACTTAATTATGACAGGCTCATGACAGACATTCCCTCTGCATGCTAAGCTCAAGTGTCAGATCAAAAGTCTCAAGCCTTAGGATCCAAGTCCAGTAGATGCACACTCACTCAGACTGTGGTGATCAGATCAGGGACCTAGGCAGACTTCTCCTGGGGTAGAGCTGACAGCTGGCTGAGGAGGTGGGTCATAGGGAGAAGTCCTTTTCTCACCAGAGTCAAGAGGCTGCTATAGAGTTTGAGAGTGGTGAGAACAATGCAGAGGATCAGGCAGATGATACGAATTGGGATGTCAGTCTAGGTCCTCCTYAGGTGCTCAGGCTTGTGTGCATCAGTGTCGGTTGGCTGAAAGTCTGTTCATTTGTTCCATCATTTATACTAAATTTTGGGGCTTCTGACCACCCTTTCAATCCCTATCAATCCCTATCAGCTGCTGTGGGATTTCTCAGTGATGTCATTCAGCTGGTGGTCCCCACCCTGATTTTCTTGTTTCTTGCTTTTATCAGAGTTAGGACAACATACCATTGACTTCATTCTGAGTTTATCAGGGTGGGGATTAGTGACTTGTTTGTACTTGAGGGCCATACTGGAAGGCTCCTTAGGCATGCCTGGTTAGACTTCAGGTTTCACACTGGAGTTTTTAAATGAAGTTGCTTAGGCTAAGGCCATCTTTACATTTAGTTGTGCCTTAGCTGTTGTCTGTGTCTGAACTAGGGTCAGAGATGAAGTCCCTTAGTCTCCTGGAGAGAGGACTGGTGGGAGGGGAGTGTGGAGAGAAGCACAAAAAACAGCAGCTGATGGTTTTTGCTTCACCCACTTGACCACATAGGCCAAGGGGTAGCAGTTAGCATAAACAATTTGAATTTCCTTTGAGGGTGGAAGATTCTTGTTACGGTAACAACAGTGAAATACACTGCTCCAGTTCTACTCCATAAGCTTCT